GGGGGGGGGGACGAGCAATGTGCGTCGCTTGTCTAGACCTTCCTCTGGGGCAGTTCGGATGGAAGTGGCCCAAGGCGGCCCCGGGAAAGTGGTTGGAAGGATGAGGGCGCGAGTGCAAGGTTGGCGAAAAAGGTTTCCCCCAAAAAAGTTGGCAGTTTGCGTTCGCGACGACGAAATTTGCCAAGGCGGCGGCGCGGGGGGTGCTACATCGACGCGCGAGAGAGAGAGAGAGAGAGAGAGAGAGCGCGTATCATCTTCAGCACAATGCCGGAAAGTTCTTTTTTGTCCTAGCTACAATCTTCTTTACATCTTGAGCACGCGCCCTCGTCGTGATCAGCAGCGCATCTTCGCAATCCACCACCACCACATCGTCCACTCCCAAGCAAGCAATCTGACGTTTTGGGGCAAAAAAAAAAGCCGGGAGAAAGACATTGTCAGTTTCAGAACCTCTGCACATCGCCATGACGTTGTGTCAGGCGCGAATCGCAAATGAGAGGGGGAAAACGCACCGTTCTTCCACTGGCTGGCACAATGATGCCGCCCGCTTGATTTTCCGTAATGACCAACTTTTGATCTCCCAGCACTCTAGCTTCTCCCTTTTCAGCAGGCAAAAGATCCGCCAAGGATGAAAAGTCTCCCACATCATCCCAACCAAAGGTGGCCGGTACGACTGCCACTCTACCAGCCTTGGCAGCCGGTTCAGCAATAGCGTGATCGATTGCGATCTTGTCCAACGTGGGCCACACTCGGCCAAGCACTTCCATCCTCGAAGACGTCTCCCACGCATTCGCAATCTCCATCAGACCAGCGTGCAGAGCAGGCATGCTGCTGCTCAACAATTCCAGCAGGATCTTGGCCTTGACCACGAACATTCCTCCATTCCACCTGTAATCTCCAGTGCTCAAGTACGCGCTAGCAGTTCTGGCATCCGGCTTCTCCTTAAATTCCGTCACCCTTCTGGCATTGGGAGCCTTGGCAGGGTCCAACTTGCTGGATCCTTCGGCCGTATAAGGTCCTTCGCTGGTCTGCGGATCCACAAATCTGGTCTTTTGAGCCAGCAGTTCGCCGAGCTTGATGTAACCGAAGCCTGTAGAAGGGTAGCTTGGCGCGATACCGATGGTGACGAGGTATCCAGCATTCGCAACGACCACTGCTTCCTTCACCGCGCTCTCAAACGCATCTCTGCCAGAGATGATGTGATCCGCTGCGAAACTGCCCAGAACGGCATCCGGATCTCTTCGAGCTAGAACAGCAGCTGCTAAACCGATAGCAGCCATGCTCTCCTTTGGGCTCGGCTCAGCCAACACATTGTCCGGCAAGAGTTCCGGTAACTGATCCGACACTCCTCCAACGTGGGCCGTTCCTGTAACGATGATCATCCTGTCCGCTCCTGCCAACGGCAACAACCTGTCCCATGTAGATTGCAGCAGCGTTCTTCCTCTTCCCACCAAATCCAGCAAGAATTTGGGATAGCTCTCTCGCGACAAGGGCCACAGACGCGTGCCTGCTCCACCGGCCGGCACGACGCACCACAATCCCAGATCGGGCGGTGTGGCGAGCAGAGGAGCAGGTTGGGATAGAGCGTTGGAAGAGCGTGCGAGCGCATTGACGTGCGCTGGCGCATTCCCGCTGCTCGTCTTGTCGGGCGAAGAAGGTCGAGATCTGCTCTCTCCTCCCCTAAAGGAGCGCGTGGAGATGGCTCGTGCGAGCGCGTGAGGCCTCATGGCAGGTGACGCAGCTGGAGACCCGTTTCGCTCCATGTCGTCCATTCGAACATGCAATCGAGCAATCTGTAAGAGGCAAGCAGCGCGATGACCCCAGAGGTAAACAGAACAAAACAAAGCTGAAATTTTAGCCCGGAGCAGCAAGAACAAAGCTACGCGCGCACCCTCTCTGCCGACTGACCTCCTTTTGCAAATCACCCATACCCGCCAAGATCAGACTCAAAGGGTCCTGTGCGCTGCTAGCAGGAGCCTGACCCTGAGCCTGAGCGAGCTGCTGCTGCTGCTCGGAGCGAGCTTCCGCATGTCCATTGCTAGCGTTCGCATCCAAAGGTTTGAGCAGATTGCCGAGTCCCAATGCGGATTCGTTTTGCGTCATCTCGTCGGCTATGGAAATGAGCGGTGCGGGAAGCGGAGAAGGGGTGGGAGAAAGGGTGGGGGTAGAGGGTGGAAAGGCGATGGGAGAGGCTTGCCTCAGAAAGGGCAGATGAGGTGGAGGATTGGCTCTCTTCATGATGCGTCAGATGTCGACAAGAGGGGCGGCAATGATGTAGAGCATGGCAGAAGAAGGGAGAGTAAAGAGGAGGGGGGGGGAAACAGATTAGCGGTCAGTAGCGAGAAGGAAAAAGGTTGAAGAGCGCATACACGCTGCTACCAATCAACGCTTTTGCCGCGCGCGATGGACTCAGCAGCAGCGATCCATTCGCGATTGTGATTTGCTTCACAGCCGCTCATCGTCCTTCCTGTGCGACCATCACCCATGCCACCCCCCCGTCTCGCGACAGCGGATACAAGGGTGGGCGCCACGCCGCAAAACCCTGTAGCAGCCATCCATGCACCCTCCCTTTCATTCAGGACACTGTGACTGCAGCCCGCGAGAATTACGAATGTGCGCCATCCAGCCGGCCGACCGCGGCTGGCCAGACTCTCATCTGCGCGCGGCACGAAAGGGCTGGTGCCATGAATGATGACGGCGTACGTGCTGCTGCTGCTGCTGCTGCTGCTGCTGCTGCTGCTGCTGCTGCATGCTGCTGGTGAGCGCGACTCGATCGCAACCAACTCGATTGCGGCTGTCTCGCTCCATCCATCATCCAGCAGCAGCAAGGCGCAGCGCGTATACGACCTCCCGGCCGCGGACCGCTTATTTGATTGATGCTAAAGGGCTGCGCTGCGCTGCGCCGCGGAGGAGCACCATCCAGCTCCAGACACTCAGCTCGAATCCGATCGCGATCGAGCACGATGCTGGCGATGCTGCTGCGTGCAGAAGCGATGCCCGATCGATCCGAGCCTAGCAATTAAAGGGCCGGGCCACCTTTTGCTCTTTCTCGTGCGCAGCGATGCGATGCGATGCGATGCGATGCGGATACAAAGAAGCGGCGATCATTCCGGGGGGGTGGGGTCCGAAAGCAGCAGCGATCGACAAGCATGCTCACCTGACGAACGAGCGAATAGACGGATGAAGCCGTGGGGGCCGAGACGGTCTGCGTGCGAGGGCCTGCAATTCGAAGTTGCTGCTGGCTGCGAGTAAAATCTTCAGGGCGCAAGGGCCGTTCGAATCTTGCAAGACGAAAGAGGGGGGGGGGGGGGGGGCGCGAGTTGACTAGCTACGAGTGATAGTCACGACTCTGACTGGGCATGGGTGGGGCCTCATCAGAAATCGTTCCGAGTTTCGTGCGTGCGAGCTTGAATGAGATCAACAAATGTGAAAAAAGGGCCCGCCCCGTTGTGAGTGTGAGTGAGGAGTGTCTCGTATATATATGTGTATGCTCGCACCAGCATGCACACGCGCCATCCATCCATCCATCCATCGCAAGCGTCCGCGTCCGCGTCCGCGTGTGCTTCGTGAAAGTCAGCCATGTATACTGTACAGTCACGGGTACCGTAGCTATAGCGCTTGCTTGGTGCGCGCGATGAAGAAGCCTATTCCAGCTCCACAACTCGCATCTCATCGCATCGCATCGCATCGCATCGCATCGCATGCGCGCATGCGAGCGTCGGGGATGTGGATGTGCATGCATGCGTGGACCCGTTTGATGGACAGCAGCAAGGCGAGCAATGACACACGCGGCGGGGACGATGCACACACGCACGCACGCGCGCACGCATGCATGTTGGCAGCCACTCGATCGTGACTGCTATAGTTGCTATTTGCCATGCAGCTGCCTGCATGCCGCTCACTCTAACACGCCGGCTGAATGGGTGCGGGTGCGGGTGCGGGTGCGGGTGCGGTGCGGTGCGGTGCGGGTGCATACGCATGCGACTCGTGACTTCCATACCGTACACAAGCCCGACGTGCTGCTGGAAAGTCGTGAGTCCTTGGCTGCATGCGGTGAGTCTGGGTCTGTCTGAGTGCAGGTCGCGGAG